TTGAGGTTTGGTGGGGATGAGGTTAACCAATATAGTAGTTGTTTTGGAACGGGACTTGGTTACAAATAGGTAAGTTGGTAATAATAAAATGGTACTTAATAAAATTTAACTTTAACACTTTAACAAAAAATTATATTACAAAAATATCTGTAGAAGTAAAAAAATGGATCCATCAAATAACGTCAATTCGTGCAATATAACAGCATCAGGCACAAGCAAAAAACGAGCTGCTTTACTCGGAACTGTGGCTATAAGTCAATATTTTTTAAAGACTATTATTGATTTGGGAATTGATGATAGTGATGAAAGTGATGCAGAATTGATGCAAGAATTAAATAACGTTGAGAAAGATTTAAGAATACGTGGTAAAAGGAGAAAAGTAATACGTGTTGAAGGCTTTGTGGAACACACAATACCAAGGTTTTCTGCAAAACAATTTAAAGAACATTTTCGAATGAGACCAGCTATCTTCGATATTTTGGAGAATAGATTGGGAAATTTATTATCACGACAACAATCAATTGGTCGTTTGACAGTGCCTGTTCGGAAACAATTATTATACTAGCCACTCTTTGGTTATTAGCTACTCCTGATTCTTACAGGTAGATATTATTTTAATTATTATTGAATTTCAGTGTATTATTTTACTTACTTTTTATATTATACATGTATATAAATTTTTCTATTATTTCAGATCTGTTGGATCAAAATTTGATTTAGGAAAATCTTCACTTTCTCATTGTGTTAGAAGAGTAGTGACAGCTCTAAACTCAATATCAAACGAAATTATATCTTGGCCAAAAGATGATCGTTTATTAAATACAAAAGCTCAATTTCAGAGAATTGCAGACTTGTATAACGTTATTGGAGCCATAGACGGTACACATATCGAAATTCCTACTCCAGAAGTATGTTTTTATATAATAGTTTTTGGAAGGGAGGATTCATATTAAAGCGGAAAAGCAGAAACAAAAGTTAAAAAGAGAAAGACAATGTAGATATGTATATATATATAATGTTTTCCTCTTTCTAACTTTTGCTTTTGCTTTTTGCTCTGTAAATCCTTCCTAGTGTGTTCGATAATTTACGAATGCAATTTACTTAACGATACCAGCTTCTCTCTGACGCTACAAATGCTTTGAAGCATTTCATTAACCAATCAGAAGAAAGAATTTCTACTAATTGATCAATCGAATAATGCTCCGAAGTATTTGCTGCATCAAACTGTATCCTAAAACAATTTTTATTTTTAGGTTGATCCTGAAACATATAATACACGAAAATGTAGATATGCCATTGTTCTGCAGGCAGTATGTGACGCAAATCTACCAGATAGCAAAATGTTAGCAGTATGCCAGCAGTATGCCGGCAAATTCAATCATGATTGTAGAGCAGATTCCTATCCACTGTGTCTTCTTTAAGCTTGGTTTTTGTCATCATGATTTACCAAACATAATATAATA